TAGGAATTTGAAAATTTGTGAAACTATATTTTTTTAGGCGACGAATAAGATGCGTGTTGTAATTTCAGCATTGCTCATAGAGGGCGCCACTTACGACCAATTTTACCGAAAATTTAGTTAATAACTTTTTACCCTGTATGTCTAACATGAAACTTGATTCAAAACCTGAAAGAGCAATCATTTTTCCATTAATTGTGTATTCTTGTTTCATTTCGGTATCTCGATCCGTTTTCGAGAAAAATCGATTTAACGAACACTATGTTTTGATAATACGAGAAATTAAAAGCGAAACAAACCAAGTGTTTCTTCGTGTTATTACAACAATTAACAATAAAACAAATGAAATTCGTAATAATGATTTAAAGTCAGTGTTCGAAGAATCCACCGTTGACATTTACACACTTTACACAACGTTTTCTGAGAGATCTTCGAGTTTGAAACAACATATTGGGATTGCGTTTGACTTCGTTGGCAGCGATTTGTATTCTTTGCCACAACTCTTCACACGAACCAATAGATTCTTCCAAATAGAAAAATGAAGAGGATTGAAGTCCGGACTTCTGGGTGGCCAAGTAAAAATGCTTCCACGGCTTGAAGAAGTTCCACTTTATTTAAGAAGAGACATGTGGTTCATGCACGACGGAGCTCCACCGCATTTTTCTTGGCCAGTGCGTGCATATTTAGATGCAGTTTTTCCAAATCGCTGGATTGGCCATGTAAGCATTTTTGCTTGGCCATCCAGAAGTCCGGACTTCAATCCTCTTGATTTTTCTATTTGGTCTCGAATGAAAGATATAGTTTACAAAGAATCTATTGGCTCGTGTGAAGAGTTGTGGCAAAGAATACAAATCGCTGCCAACGAAGTCAGACGCAATCCCAATATGTTGTTTCAAACTCGAAGATCTCTCAGAAAACGTGTAAAGTGTATCAGTGTCAACGGTGGATTCTTCGAACAATTACTTTAAATCATAATTACGTATTTTATTTGTTTTATTGTTAATTGTTGTAATAACACGAAGAAACACTTGGTTTGTTTCGCTTTTAATTTCTCATATTATCAAAACATAGTGTTCGTTAAATCGATTTTTCTCGAAAACGGATCGAGATACCGAAATGAAACAAGAGTACATAATTAATGGAAAAATGATAGCTCTTTCAGGTTTTGAATCAAGTTTCATGTTAAATATACAGGGTAAAAAGTTATTAACTAAATTTTCGGTAAAATTGGTCGTAAGTGGCGCCCTCTATGAGCAATGCTGAAATTACAACACGCATCTTATTCGTCGCCTAAAAAAATATAGTTTCACAAATTTTCAAGTTCCTAACCTACATATTTTCAGAATAATCGCAAAAAAACGATTTAAAATTTTAACTTTCAACACCCTGTATTTCCGAAACTATCAACTTTCGGATAAGGCATGTTTGCGCCAATGGTCACCATTTAACGTGTTGTATCTTCAGCTTTCGATTTTCCCATTGTTAATGAATCACCCTGTATATGCCCTTATGAAGTTTCCAGCATAAAATTCGGACCACCCTGTATAATTTAAAAAACTAAACCTACATTTGAGAGACAGCCACTGAAAATACATTTTCAAAATTTAATTATTTCCTTGTTTAACTCTAATTTGTTTAATAAAATCACAGACAAAATAGCTAACGCATCAGACAGCGCCCTAGGAACAGCAGTTTTAAATTTCCCAATTTCCAATAGAGTACACCACCAACAGAATTTTAGCAAAATTGAAATGCAGCGGCCGGCATTCCTAGACAATGCTTACGCGTATCCTAGCAACACATAACAGTTTGGCATTGTTACTCGGATGCACTGATTTATTTTGTACACTTTTTTGTGTGTATATTTACTTATTAAATGTATGATGTAGGTATTGATAAAACTTTAAAACATAAAGAATGAATGAATACCTATGTACACAGTGGGTTATTTAATCATAATTTCATTAATTAGCTAATATTGCAATTTTTTGGCATTGGAATACTGCAGAAAATATATTTTCAAATAAACAAATTCATAATGATATTTTAAACAGTTAGTAATATATTTTTTTAATATTTAATGCTAATTTTAAGTACGTCACAAATGTAGGTACCGGTTTTTTATTTGTCTTGATACCCAGGTACACCTTTTAATTATTAAGGACAGAAAAAATCTTTAAATACAAATGTTGTTGGATTTTTCCTTTATTATGTTTTGATTATCAAAATTTTAAAAATAACGTTAAGAATTTGAAAATCAAATACACTTACACTTTTTTAAATGGAACAAACACCCCATATATTACCCATTTTTAAGAACCACCTTCCTTCCTTATTTAAAAAACATATTACATGTTGTTATCTGGATCAGACGTTTTTGACATACTTATATTTAGGAGTCTTATTTAAATTTCAAACAACTGAATGTTACATAACTGAAACTAGTAGCCATAGAAATTTTTTTCGACGGAAATAGGTTCCTCGTATCTTCTTATCCCCCAGTTCCAAATTTCAGCTCTTTCTGTTGTGAAATAAGGACGCTAGATGGCATTTTCTAAAATCGCTATTTTCACAATATTTCAGGAACGGCAGCAGATATCGTTGATCTGTTTGGTTTATTTCAACGACCCTGAAAAGGCGCAACAGTTTTCTAATTTGAGCCACCCTGTATATCTTCCCAGATGCTAATGGTGAAATGAAAAACGGACCACCCTATTCAGGGTATCCCACCTTGAATAGACGTCGATCGATATCTAGAAAAGTACTGCTCCGATAAATTTGAAAATTTGGCAACATGGCAATGTCCCTGGGGTAAACACAACTAAAATATCTAGAACTCTCCAGATCTTCAGTTATACTGGAAGTCGTCACCAACTTTGTTATTTTAAATGGGACACCCTATATATTACTGCATTTTCGGATGCTACGTGAAATTTGAGGGTCACTTTATTAAATGTTCCCTATACTTAGGAGTTATAGAATTTGAGATATTATTTAAAGAAAAAAATTTGACAGATCCAAGGGTCTCTGTAGATGCTATAAAAAAAATAGTAACTATTTTCAGGAGTGTGATATCAAGCCGATTTTTGGTACCTGTAAAAGGCATAGCTAACACTAAATTATGGTATACCAACAAATTAAAACATTTAATACTAGGTGTTTCATTTTTGCCGTTACATTTTGATAACTTAAAATAACTAACTTTGTAAACTTAAATGGAACACCTTGTATTTTTACTCTGTCGTATGCACATTCAAAATTTCCTTTCAAGTCATGTAAGCATTATTAGGGTTGCCATTACTACTTTTAGATATTTGCAATTTTCTATTTTTTATTTTGACACTTTCTCATATCAGACCTATTGTCAAATTGGCCATGACCAGAAACACTCCAAAAACAATTGAAATAACCTAACATTTGTCAAATTTGTTGTCAAATTAGTCGTCTAAATAATTTTTGCCAAAAATTTAAATAAAAATGTCTGGAGATCGTTTAAATTATACTAATAAGGATTATTTTAATTTGTTTGTTATTTATGGAAAGCAATTTCAAGGACATGTGGAGCATTTGTTTTTAAATAGAAATTTGCAAATATCTCTAAAAGTAGTAATGGCAATCCTAATAATGATTATATGGCTTGACAGGAAATTTCAATCTGTATACGACAGAACAAAAAAATACAGGGTGTTTCATTTAAGTTAAAAAGTTATAGCTGTTTGAAGTTATCAAAACGTAACAGCAAAAATAAAACACCTTGTATTAAATGTTTTAATCTGTTGGTATACGATAATTTAGTGTTGCCTATGCCATTTACAGGTACCAAATATCCACTTGATATCACGCTTCTGAAAAGACTTACTAGCATGTCTGGGGACCCCTGCACCTGTCAAATTTTTTCTTTAAATATTAATATCTCAAATTCTATAACTTCTAGGTATAGGGAATATTTAATAGTGACCCTCAAATTTCCCGTAGAATCCGAAAATGCAATAATATATAGGGTGTCCCATTTAAAATAACGAACGATAGTGTTGACTTCCGGTATGACCGGAAGTGCTGGTGAGTTCTAGATATTTTAGTTGTGTTCGCCCCAGGAAGCCAGGGAGAATGCCATGTTGCCAAATTTTCAATTTTTCGGGTGCAGTACTTTCCTAGATATCAATCAACGCAGTTCCCGGTGGGACACCCTGTATATTAATATGCAAAAGTGGAAATCGTTTCATGAAATAAAATTATATGATTTTGTATTCTACAATATTCTGTTAATTCCCGATTCATTTTCATTTTATTTTTTGTATATGTAATAAGTAATATATGTCATTAGAATTTTTTTCTGTATACATTTAGATATTTGATATGCGATTTTTCTCGTTGATATCTCATTACATTTTGATTTCCATGTTGGTCTATTACCTCCTGAAAAAATAAAATTTGACTTGATTTAAAACTTAGAACACTTAATTTTTGGAATAATATATTCTACATGTATACTAATAAATTAACGAAATGTGGAGATATAAATTTATGGGTATTACTTTAGAAAATATTGTAGAGTTCAGAATCATTCAAGGTATTGTCTGAATTAACCGATATCACATTAAGACTATAATATCAGATTTATACTCATTTTTTTTTATTTAGCATTTAACACAAATGCCATTTCCAAACAAATGGTGAGTTTCCTATAACTCTTCTATTACATAATTAAATGCATAAATTTTTAAAGTTATTACTTGTCAACACTGCAACACTTTGGAACTGCTAGAACTGCCACCTACTATTGGTTGGATGCTAGCTCAGAAGAGCCTGCTTCCTTTTTGGGTTGCCAATTTCCACCATTTAATGTGTGGTCTGGTGCTATAGTTATATTGCCTGTGATAAAATTATGCAATATACATTTTTATAACTACCACAAATTTGCCAAGTTTGTCATATTTGTCCATACCTTGATATAAATCAAACTAGATATAAAATAAGTCAATGAAACAATACTTACATTTTTATTTTTTATTAGGTAATCAAAGATGAAATATAAAGCTAAATTAACACAAATTAACACATTAAAAATTTGCATTAAACACAACATATTAAACTTAATCAACAGTTACATCAATAACAGAACTTATTAATATCAACCTCCAGATATGAAGTATAAAATGTTTTATTAAACAACCCTAGCACATTGTACAAAAAAGTTTTATAAAAATATTATGTTTTAAAGTACAAGGGTACGTACATAATTATGCTTTTATATTGGTGAGCATTTTCTAACTTTTTTCCCATAGAATTATACATTTTAAATTAAAAATGCATCTATGATTAAAGTAATTAGTTATTCAAGCGCAAAATCTTCACTCAAAAATAAAATTAACAGAACAGTTCTACACTAAAATGTTTAGTGTTGCAGATCATTAAAGCTTTTTTTGATAACTATCAAAACTGCCAGTTTTAAGTATAACAAAGTTCAGTACATGAATAAATAAATATTTTAAATTATAATCTATACAAATAAATATATATATACTGCTACATTGAGGACTTCATCAAGTTACATAAAAATTTAATTAAAACAGCGAATATGACATGCTTTACATAAAATAATTTTGTTAAGTTTATACTAAATGTATGCTTAAATCCTAGTGAGAATAGTAATATCACACACAAATTTCTTCTAAAAGATCCAAAAAAGCATGTCATATAATACTTATTTTGAGTCGCAAAGAAATATAATTATAATCAGTTATTGTATTACAATTAATTAATATTGATTTTTATTAAGATTCTTATAAAACGTAATTATTGCTTTTGTTATACCAAATATAACAAAGATTCTTTAACATCGGAATAACACCTTTAAAGTGTATGTTCAGTCAGATCAACAGTCATAAATATATCAAATTTCATTTGCATCAGCTTCCTCCGCGCTTAACACCGAAGTATGATCACCTGTAGTTCTTACAGAAAGATAATGTTTCGCGTCAAAACGTTCAATGACCTAAAAAAATAATTATTTTATATACGTTCATTTACAAATAATTGTTTCAATAACCGCAGTTGAAAGGCGATCGAAGGCATATGTTGCAAAATTAATTTCTACAGGTGGAATGTATAAATATACAAAATGTTAAAGATAACTAAGTTTATTAATTGAGCATTTTCTTTATTGTGTTTCAAGCTCTTGATAGGCATATTGAAAGTTATGATTATGATTAAATTAAAGTTATACTTACATTTCTAATAAGCATAGGATATTCTTCAGAGATTCTCTCCCATTCACTTGGTTGAACCAAACAAAATGGAGACATAGCTAAATGTGCTAGGAATTCAATTGAATAAGCCAAATTTGTTTTAGGCGGTATTTCCTCCTCAATAGAAGTTTTCCCCTTAATAATTTCTTCAATGGATAGTCGAGGTTTCCTTAATTTTAAATTATCTGTTACAAATGAAATAAATGATTATATTATAATTATGCTCATATTCTTCAGCAAGTAACAGATATATACAATATTACAAGAAATATAATAATTGGAGAAATTCATGTAAATATAAATTAAGCCATAATTTAATACACAGGTTGTCCCCAATTGCATAAATCAAACTTTACATGGTGTAGAACTCTAAATAAGAAAAAAAGTTCCCAAAAATTGGGAATAAAATTGTAAACAAATATTTCACTCTGTATCCTTAATAAGACAAAATTTATTAAACAGAACTATTCAGAGGTGGGTAAAACTTAGACCTAAATAAAATTTTAACTTAAATTTCTTCAGGTCACATTTTTTCATTTATTTAAAATGGCAATATTAAAATTTATATCTCATTTCATAGAAAATGTCTTTATATTCAATTGCTACTGAATAAAAAATAATGTTAAGGTTACAAAAAGACATCTTGTATATATTTTTATTTGATTATTTTGCAATGTTTTGAATGTATAAAAAAATATATTTTCGGAAATTTCAACTAGATCACCCTATACTTCGGAAATTAAACATTTCTCTATAATCAATTTTTTTCTTACATTCAGGAGTTCTATCATCAGTTATAGTTTGGCTTAAGTAATTTGAGACAGCCAGTAAATACAGCATTCATGTTGATTTTGAGAACTAAGTTTTAATATTTTTTTCTGCGTCTATATTTTTACTTCATTCTCATTTTCTTCTTGTGGTTTGGCTTCATAAAAATGAATTTACACTTTGCAGTTGGCATCAGTGCCCAGATTACCAAGTGTACAAAGGGTTTTAACATTTAACAATTCTTTACCCCATATGTACATTGATCAAAAAACTGCTTAAGAAATTTTTTTATTTAAATATAAATGATAGTAGCAAACCATGCCGGATAATCTTTGCCAGACAGATCCGACTGCAATAATAAAAGAATAAGCAATATATTTTCTAATTAAAATGAAATACTCAATATTCTACAATGTAACTAAATCCGTACTATTGAACACTGTTGCTAAAAATTTACAAAATGGCCAATGAATTCTAACCAGTTCTATCATCTACAATTTCTTGGGCAATTTGATAATTTTCTGAAATTAGAAAATTTAGAATTTGAACCAATACAACTTAGCCAATGTCTTGATCAATGTACTGGTAAATGAAAAGTGATTTAAGATAATTCGTAGGTGGCAGTCAAGATGCCAAACAAGATTGTAAAAACTAAAAACTACTGTATCATAACTACTTTCAAATTTGAATGGGAATTGTCTCTTTTATGGAAATTACTCAATCATTCTTGTTTAAGAATATTTCTTTACTTCAATATTTAAATTTTGAATTAATTATTTATTTATTCCAAATCATGATGCATCAAAACAAAAAAATAGTATCATGAAACATTCTTTAAATGCGAATGAATATAAAATATTTATTGCTACTAAAACACAGTCAATTTCAAGAACATTTCAATTTTCTTTCAATAGGTAATGATATTTAAGCAATTTATAAATTATGTGCTCAAAGATTTCAACTAAAATCGTTGTGATAATAGGGTGTTTGTCACCATTTCAGATAACACAAAATGAAATAATGTACATAGCCAAAAACTTGCTCTGTATTTTTATTTTTGTATGAAATCATTCTGTTAAATAACTACAAATTAAATCAAATGTAACACTAAAACTAATCTAGCTAACAGTTGTAACTTGCTGAACATACCTAAACTGTGCCGTCTTTTAATTTTATTTACTAGTAGAAGACACAGAGAAGTTACTTAAATAAAAAGTTTTCTGCAATACCGAACATCCATAGTCTAATAAGTTAGGAAGGCATTAAAATATTTAAAATCAAATAAAAATTTATAAGTAGGTAAATTTATTGCTCATACAGTTCGCATCAACCTTCATTGTAGAATATTATTCAGTGACAAAACGCTACAGATTTTTTGATGCAAACACCCTATTTGAATAAAGTAAAAAGGACAAATATGACAAAGGACAGCTTTGAGTTCTAATGGTTTTAATTATTCTTGGACAATCAGCAATAGAAATATGTCCAAATTTTAATAGAATAAAAAATACTTATTAACAGAAAAAATTGAATGTTATATATTATAGCCATGATTCGCAAGACAATTTAAACAAAACACAAAAAAAATAAAAATAAATGGAACACTGCTACCTACCTACAATTAACTAAAATGTTTAACTTTCTATCCACTTTATTAAGGTTAAAGCATTCAGTATGGGGTTTAACCTACATATTGGACAGGGAAAGAGGAAATGATAAGGCAGGTCCAAAAACAGTTAATAACACCTTGTTGCTGACACGTTTATGCTTGTGTAAAAAAAATAGTAAAAGCCAATTTATAATTTGTTTTTGTTGCTATTACCATTACAGTGTGTCCCAGAAGTAACGCAAAAAAATTAGTATTTTACTATGTGTTGTGTTTTCACAAAAACGCTAAAACACGTCAATTAGTAAATAGGAATTGTCATTTTGTCACGTTGCTTAAACCTTTTTTGCGCTATTACCGCTTCTACCTAACTTTTTAAGCATAAATGGATAGTCCTTTTGAAGGGAAATACGTCGATATAGGGTTTGGCCTTCTTTACTTTGACAGGAGCGAAAAAAAAACAATGACTGGAATGGACATGATTTAAAATAACAACAAAAGTAGGTATCATAAACTGATGCGAGAACAGTGCCACAGCAAAAAATGGAAATTTGTGGATGTTTTGTGTTTTGATTGATTGTAGGTACGTTTTTATGTATTGATATGTTGGCGTTTTCGACGATACGACGAACAGCAGTGTGTGGATTTTCAGTGACAGCTAAACATAACATTTTGCCTATTATTTTCCGTCAATGTCATTGGCCTTCCAGATCTAGACAGATTTCTAGCATGTCCAGCGTCTTCAAATTTGCGTACTAATCTGCATACTGTAGACGGAGGTATTGGTTGTTCTGGATACTTGGCATTGAATAATTGACATAAGTACTTCATCATAACTATGGATCATATCTCCGTATCCAACCATAATGAGGATTTCAATTCTTTGTTTCTCATTTAAACACAACACCATCGTAATGTAAAGTTATGGTATTTGTAACTGTCACAATGATATGAGGCACTATTCAATTCGCTAACTGTCGTCTTCAAAACAATACCTACATAGCCGCTGTGATCGGGTGTACCTACCAAATCTGCATAAAAACATGTACCTACAATCAACCAAAACACATTTTTTGCTATACCACTGTTCGCGCTTAAGTTTGTGATACCTACTTTTGTTATTAATTCGAACTATGTCCATTCCAATCGTTGGCTTTTTTTCGTACCTGTCAAAGTAAAGTAGGCCAAACCCTATATCGAAGCATTTCCCTTCAAAAAGGCTATCCATTGATGCTTAAAAAATTAGGTAGTGCTATTTAAGAAAAATGTCGATGACGTCATAGGTTTATGAAACATAGCGCAAAAAAGGTTTAACCAACGTGACAAAATGACAATTCCTATTTACTATACTAATTGATCTGTTTTAGCGTTTTTGTGAAAACTCAACACAAAATAAAATACGAATTTTTTGTGTTACTTCTGGGACGCACTGTATGTGGGAAATATTTCACTTATTATATTAAATAGTTGAGAGATTGGAACGATTATTGATTAATGCTTCTGTAAATACATTTCCTAGGTAACTCGAATGAGAACGGCAACAGAAAAAGTTTATAAATCAGCCTTAATATATTAAAAATATCAAACTATTTTTTATGTGGTATAGTAACACTAGACTTTTTTATTAACATAGTTGAATATTGAAGACTGATGTAATAATTGAATATTTAATATTTGAATACATTTTATATTTCTAAAAATTGATAACCAAAAATTAAACAATTTCAATCTTAACATACAGGGCGTAACTTTAAGTGCGGGTCAGTTTTTTAGGGTTAATACTAGGTGTTCCCCTGAATACGAATCTGAAATTATTATTTTTTTAATCAAATAAATAGTCCAGTTATAATTAGTTTTTTAAAATGCATTTTAATACATATTTATATACACTGCCACTGTAATATTGATAACCATAGATCATCACTATTACAAATACACAAATTGTAGGCAACCTACAGTGCATGTGAACAAAGATAGTGCGAGTCAACGGTGACGAAACGAAGGGCGTCAGTTGTTGTTCCGCATTTGGAGACAGTACATCAAACTGTGAATTTGAATGTTTTGCATTGCTGGAAGCTATTTGTGGGGTGAACACCCACACAACAAAAGTAACTTGCGGCGAATGATGAAATTATGCATGCGCCGATATTTGAGGTTACAGTAGCTTCTCCAGCGGTGGAGTAAAAAGATTTTAAAAAAAATGGAAGTTTTTATGACAGAATTTGAAAAAATAAACTATGGATACGTGTTTCTAAAGGCCAAAGGAAGCCTCTCTATAAATATGTTCCCCACTGAAAGTTACACCCTGTATATATATATCACATCGTAAGTATACATAAAACCAGACTTATTATAATCTACCGTTAGAGATGGCTCCCTTTTCTTACTGGCCACCTTGTTAAATGATTTTTAACGCTGTTTGATTAAATTTCTAGTGAACTACAAGTTTTTAAGCTTTATTTTAATAGATGTTGTATTTAAAAAAGCTTCAGAGAGGGAACCCATAAGATGTAACCATAAGGTTCCACAAAACATTCCACTTTAAATACAGTGTGTGAAATACAACCCTGTATAAAAAATTATATTTCTCATTCTATTTAAAAAATATTTTTTATAGTAATAAAATTTGCCCTTGCAGTCCTCATATTTGAGAAACAAAATGTTAAAGTAGGTATTAAAAAATCTATATCCCTAAATATGTTTTGAACAAAATCCTGAAACAAAATTTTGTGCACAATAAAAGAGAAGACATAAAAAACTGTATCGAGATATAGCAATGCCGCTTTCAATGCCTATTGTAAAATCATTTAAATTTATACAAAAAAGGTAAAAACTAAGCAAAAAAAAAGAAAGAATTTTCGTTAAAAATATACTTTACACTTCCACAATTTTTAAAGAAAATATTACCAGAATACTCATAAAACTGGTTTCAGTTGAGAATAAATTTTTACACATTGAATGCTATTTTATTCATACAGGGTGGTCGCCGAGGTATCCCAGATACTTCATATATGAATTCAATGACTAATTTTAAGCAAAAATGATTCTATTCACTTTTCCCGAATCCCCAATGGTTCTTGAAATATCGGGGTATGAAGTTACCAGGTCGTATGTGTAGTTGCTAAAGAGTATATTACATTGTTGCAACTAGAGAGCTCAGAAAAAATGTGGTTTATTATAATAAAAGCGAAATGATAGTGTAATTATTAAAGCTGCTTAATATGACCACCGCCTTGTGCAATGTGTAACTTAACCCTCTGTCGAAGCTCTCGTTCTCAGTTGTAGTTCTCTATATTGTTTTTCACCTCATCAAAGGCTGTAAGAATCTTCTCAATGAGTTGCTCCCTGCAATTAGGCTTTCCCATTGAATAGGTAAGTGTCTTCACATATCCCCACATGAAAAAGTCCCAACGGGTTGAGACCCTCTAGTCGCAACAGTGTAATTTAGTCTTTAGCAACTACCCATACGATCTGGCTACTTCAAACCCCGATATTTCAAGAACCGTTGGGAATTCGGAAAAAGTGAGTAGAATCAATTTTGCTTAAAATTAGTCATAGAATTTATATATGTAGTATCTCGGATACCTCTATAAAACCATAAAAATTTTGTTTTAGTGAGAGCTAGTTTGACTCACATTGTATCTCCAATTATAATAAAGTTATCAGTAGTGAAACCTCATAGATTTAAGATAAGACATATACTACTGACCATACCATCAATTTCCCACTTCACACACCCACCACCCACTATGATATTTTGCAGTTAAACAGCAATCCGTTTTAAAATTATTTTTCTACCTAAATCATCAAGTCATGGAAAATGGTAGCCTTTGAGCAGATACATTGCAGTGTTTACCTCTATCTCTTTCAGCCTTTTGGAGACACCTTAATTTGAAACACCTGTACTTATATATTATATATTACAGAGCATCTCTAATGGTAGATTATAATAGTTCCATGTGTAAAATAAAATTACAAAGTACCAACTATGATTATTTATGTCTTGGTTTGTGTATACTGCCTGTCTGAGTTTTTTTGTGTTAATAGCCCCCTAAATACAAGTAGGCTGGCAGAATCAAGTTGAATTAATCATTTTTGATCTTCCATTTTCACAAGCTGGCCTGCTATAATTTTCTATACTGGTGCATTTATCAGAAACGGAGATTTTTCTATTAAAAAAAAACCATAGGATTAGTCTACACCAAAAATATCTTTTGGTTATTTTTCTTCATACTGATAAACAGAAAAATGCAAAATATAGCCTTGTGGTGTGCATCTAGGATGTCATGAAATCAAAAACAGAACATCCCCAAAAAAATTGTTGTGTACGAAATATGAAGAAAAAATATCTACCAATTGTTTTTCTTTGTGATGATACGCTTTAAAAGAATGCAAAATAGAACTTTATTGTTTGCATCCAGAATTCAATAAAATCAAAAACAGAACAGTATAGGATTATAGTACTTACCAAATTTGAGAAAAAAATATGTATTTGTTGTTAAATTAGAAACTATAATCAATATAAAATTTATATTGTTACTATTATTAATCATTACTTGTAGTTGTAGCGTTTAATTTTTTTAGTGTATGTTCATTCAATTAACATTATACGCCCTTATATCTTTCGTAAAGACGAAAGTCTTAGTAAATTTTCTTGTGATATTAAGGAAGTTCATAAAAAAACAACTGAATGTTGCATTTCTGAGATATAAACCAAACTGTTATTCTTTTAAATGAAAGACCCTACATATTTGTGTCTTTTTGTAATGTTCTGTTTTTTCGATTATAACAATATATCAGATATTTGCTTTGACAGTTTGTATAATAATATAATGTTTTATCTACTGACCCTACACAATAGATAATCTTAAGACTGTCATGGAACCAGTCAGAGCGTGTATAGGCTCTTCCACAGTTTAAGGGTGGAAACCACATTAGGAGGTTCCAAAAATCGTATTTTTCTTTTTAATATAACTATTCAAGAATACGCTGCCAAAATTTCAAACCGAAATTTGTTCCATTTTTGAGCCTAAAACCGGATACTAATCAGGTTAGCGCTCGGGCACACAGCATGTAGGGCGGAGTGCTCATTCAGGTAGTCTAGTCATTTATTACGCAAGAAAAGAACAATGCAAGCTCAGAATGATGCCTATGAGGAAAAAGGACAGTTATATAGTACTGGAATCGCTGATTATCGGAAAGCACTCTGTTCGTCCCTCTTATCGCGTAGGGGCGTATAATCCAAGAAATGGATATACACATACGCCTCTATGTGATAATAGGGACGATATTATTGACAACTTTCTCAAATTTCTACTTTTCGGAAATCTTCAAATGAATTATTCTAGAAAGAACATTTTTTTGGGGAACTCTAGCTCAAAAAATTATGAACTGATCGTTATGAATTCGTTTTAACACTTTGTATATTTGATGGCAATGTACGATGGATAGTCACATAGAAGTCAAAACAATGATAATACAATATGACAGTTCCAATGAGGAAATAGCTGTACCCAAATAGAACTAAGCAAGTCAAAATGATGTATTATCTTTTTAATATGAATAAAAAAAAAAACAATATTCTCGAGTATTATGTTTCCTGTGAAAAAAAATACTAGTATTTTTTAATAAACCCATCCTGTCCTAATCAAAGGATTCTTTTAACTCTCTTACAAACAGGTAGTTTTATTTCTTACCATTGGGGATTCTGGAAGATAAAGTAAATGAAAAATGACATTAACTTATATGACCTAAGAAAGAAACTGTTGAACACAGTTAATACTATCGCTGAGACGGATAATATAGGGCATTGTCATTTATCTAGAACAGAGTGGTCAAACATCTTTTATAATAAGATTTTTCTTACAATTGATACACTGGTTACATGGCAGTCTTGAGTTTATCCATTGTAGAGTCAGTAAATAAAACAAGATATTAATGTATACTCTCTAAAAAAATACGTTATAGTACGTACGATATTTGTTGCTACAGAATCCAAGAAGACCCCTTATCATTTTCTTACAATTAACCACATTCGAGACACTCGAGATAGAATGACATTGGCAGAAAATTTCAAGGCACATCTCTGCCGTGGTAAATTGTTACAGTAGTTCCGATAACAGAACTTTATTGGCTTATTCTTTTCTTGGAATTCTATCTCAACAAATATTGTACGACAAATATATAGGGTGTTTCATATAAAAAAAAAACAGAAATTTGGTTTATATCTCAGAAACGCAACGTTCAATTGTTTTTTATATATTTCTATGATACTGCAAGAAAATTTACAAAAACTTTGGTCTCTATTATTTTTTTTCTAAACAAAAAGTTAAAAAAAGATAAGAGTAGAATGTTATAAGAATGACACTGTACAAAACCTTACCACCATCGCATTAAATACTTTTTCTTGTTACTACAGCCAACTGTTTTTAATTTCACAGATCCTAGACATGTACTATAAAATTTTATTTTGCATTTTTTTAAGTTTATTGCCATGTAGAAAAATAACCAATGGATATTTCATTCTTCAAATTTAGTAAACTATTTTGGAAGATGTAGATCAATCCCTCTTTTTTCATTAAAAAAATTCTTACTCTATTTTTGTGAAAAATGCATCCATATAACAAATCATAGCAGGCCATGTGTTTGTGAAAACGGGCAGATTTTTCTTTAAATTAGGACACAACTATTTTCAAGGATGTAGACTAATCCTACAGTGGTATTGTTTTAATAAAAAAATCCATTTTCTGAAGAAATCATATCCGGTTAGTTGTTTGTGGAAACGGGAAACCAATAGTTGCCAAATGATGAACTTTCAAGGCTTTATCCATAACAAAATATTCCAGTTGGTTCTGCCAGTCTGTATTTAAGAGTAGTTAACAGGAAAAATTAGACATGCTGCAGATTAAATTTTCTCATAAAGCATGTGAAACAACAAAGTATCTAAGTATCAATCAAGGATGTTTCAATAATCAATAAATATTGTAAAATAAATAAATAACAGTATATTGGGTTTAAAACATTTAATGATTTTAGAAGACATTCTTATTGCTAAAATTATATTTATTTTGAATGAAATATAAATAAATAACTTTTTGGTAAGTGTGAGGTGATTAACCAATATATCATTTACATTTTAAGTCAAATTTGACCCACTAAGCAATTCAGAATAATTTACGAGTGCATGTTTTTAAATCATTCTGGATTTTATGTTGGTCAAAATCTAATACAATGCTGTTAATGATTCTTAAACTACTCATAGTGTTAGTAATAAGTAAAAATAATTAAAAGTAATAAAACCAAAAATGTATTTATTTTTATTCCCTTTTAATTGATTTTACCTGTTTCCTCACTTTCTCCATTTGTTAAAATTTCTGGGGATGGTATAGATTCTGGCGGTGAGAGGGGTGCAGAGGGTATATCGTCTGTTATAATAGGTTGTGGCAAACTGTCGAAACTATAAAATTGTGTAACATCATGAATTGGTTCTCCAGAGAAATACTCATCAAGAACTAGTTTACTAGTCTGTAACAAATATCAAAATTGTAATTATAATGCAAATTAAAAAGACAATTTAGTTGTTTACAATAGACTGGTTTTTGTCAGATTTTTTAAGATTTTATTTTTACTGGTAGAGTGAGTGTTGATTTGGCTAATAATGAAACTAGACTGCTCAATTTAAATCCGTTTCCAGGTATATTCCTTTAACTTTGAAAGCAAAATATTTTAAAAACTTTTCCTGAATTCTCTGGATCTACCATTCACATAAACAGAATACATCTTAATAACTCCAATATCCGAGACTTCGGATGATACCATAGACAATATCCCTTTTGTTCTTTTTATAACATGATCATTAAAAGTAAATTTTTAATCAAACAGGACTCCAAGATCTATGAAAGAATTACAGAAGGATAGATTGTTGCCAATACTATGTATAAATTGACAGGGATAATGTTTCCTCAAAAAGCACAGAACACAGCACCGTTTACAACCCATGTGACCGCCAAGCTTAAGTAAACCAACATTGCACGACTGGTACTAGTAACGAAAAATCACTAAATCTTGGCATCACCAATATTAGTGATTCGTTTACAATGAACAATGATGGACCTATGCTTGAAATAATACGATCGCTGATTAGTTGAATAGAATCTCGTGGAAAATTAGACCAATCGCAGCCAGTGAAACAGAATGTTGTGTTTTTATGTAATCTTGATCTTATTATTTTAATAATTTTTATTTTTACTGAAATTTAATTGCCAACATGAATGAAATAAAATTACTGTTCCAAACAAAATTACTGGTCACATGGCTTGTAATCATTTAAGAAATCTCTGTATATACATATTTTTTAAATCAGGAATTTATATGTTCTAGATCAATCTGCAAATTCAGACAATGATCTAAACTATTTCCAAAAATAATTTCAAATTATCTACATAAAAAAGTCTACAGAACTAAGTTACATTATTTAAATATAACGAAAAAGGGTCTCAGTATGAAACCGTAACGAAAAGGTCAGCTGAACCAGAAGTCATTTTATTTTTTAATTTCTTCATACCATTAAAATTTGACTTCAGTAACTTCATTCAAAATAATATTGTTATAACAATAGGTCACAGATAATTCAGAAATAATCTCTGTTTTAGGTTGTAAAAAATCATCCAAACACTCGTATAATGCATTTACAATTTCACAAAAATTCCTAGTTTTAATCATCAGATAAAATTTCCCCAGATATACAAGATGCTTCTGATTTCTATTGAGAGTATTGAGGATTTTTAGAAATCGCTGATTACAAAAGATAATTCTTTTTTACCTTTCTATATATAAAAAAATTGTAGGGACCAGTTTTATGAAATTTTCTTGCAATTTCAAAGAAATATATAAAAAAGTTGACTAGTATTTCAAAGATATAAACCAAACTTCTATTTTTTTAAAATGGAGCACCATGTATATTTGTCATTTTTTAGATTCCTCTATTTTTCTGATAACAATTATATATACATGTCAATCATGTTATATATTTGCTCTGATAGTTTGTACGATATTTTGTTTCATTCACTGATCCTGCACAAGGTCAAGATTGCCACGGAAAACTGCATAGGTCTGTTTTTCACCGTTACATTTACCAGAAAAATCTTCATATTCTATAATTTTGTATAAAAATGTTTTATAGTACCTTCATCCTGTTCTAGGAAAAGAACATATATTCCAGTCAGGTTTTTTTTGTAATTCCTACCTCAATGATAGTACTAACTTCGTTAATATTTTCTTTCTTAGGTCATATAAATTATTAGATTTTTCTGTTTATTTTATCTATCAGAATCTCTCATAGAAAGAAATACATAGAGGTCAAATTTGTACTTCACAAGAAAAATTTATTTACTTTGCTTAGAACACAATGGAGTTATTATGAAACACATTTTGTGGTAGGTACAGTATTTTTTGTCTTAAGGAGTTTGAAAGAGAATTATTATAAATTATGTATCTTACCTAATCGATTTCTACGAGCTGTCATACGATTACTTAGATATCGGTTTCCTATTTATACAAGTTGCTGTGGGAACTGTTTGTTAATTGTTGCGCATTATAAGTGGAAATACCAAAAAAACCTACATTCTCATAAGACTGTACTAAATCGTGAAAAATTATTTTATTAATATCTCGTCTCTTAGGTATCCAAACTAGTCATAATTTTTTTTGAGGATTTTCTTCATATTAATAAGCTTATATTAATTTTTTTTATGATTATTTGTTCGTCAATTCCAAATCAGATAAACCTCCTTAATGAAATATTAAAAGATCTGTTTAGTGAGTCTTAATAGTGAAAAGCGTTAATATGTTCTGGTTCCATCAGCATTAATCATTGCGGGGAATCAGCAAATAAATCGATATTGCACAAACTGTCAGAACAAATATATGACATATCACCACTGTAATTAGAAAAAGGAAAGATATAGTACTCCATCAAAAAAAAAAAAACAAAAGTATGATTTATTTGTATCAAATCTTCGAAGTGCAACAATTGCTTATTCTTTTATATATTTCATTGATATTGCAAAATAATTTCTTAAAACTTTAATCTTTACTATTTTTTCCTAGACAGAAAAATAAAAAAGATAAGGGGTGTAGAATATTATGTAATTGATCTTGTACATCTGAATCATTAGTGATTCTGTTGTGGTATGTATTATTAGATATAAAGATGTCGACTAAAATGACCACTGAAAGTGAATGGCCCAAACTCACCTAAAACTTTAGGCAAATGGGAGGTCTAAGGAACTACCTTATTGTTAATTTTATAACTGTTTCTTCCTCTTTTTTAGAAGCAAATATTATTCAAAGAACGATATAAAAAATAAAAATATATACAGGGTGTCCGCAAACTTCACTGACAACGTTTGACTGCATATTCACGGCAATAAATAAAGACGATCTACGAAAAAAAGTTAAATAAAAAATTTTTGGTTTTTGAGTTACAAGCCTTCAAAGTTGTCAAAAATAAAATTATTTTAATTAATAACTTTATAACCCTTTTACCGATCGTGTTAAAATTTGGCACATTTATTTGGACTATTATGGCGTATTATTTCTTAAAGCTTTAGTCAAATCGATATACTAGGTGATAGTTTTCCCCGGTTGCCTCTCCCTTTTAGCAGTCAAAACTTTTACAGTGATGGTATTTTTTTAAAACGGGCTGCAACATTGAAATGATCATTTTATTTCAAAAAAAATAAATGTCCCTTGAGAAAATCGCCTACAGAAAGTCATTCTTGAGAAAAATGGCATTATTTGCAGGTGTGTATGTTTTGGTTTGCGTAGCAGCGTCATGGATTTAAAACTTTGAGTTCAGTAGGCGATGAAAACAAGATGTTGATTGCTGTGGCTATCAGGTAGTCATTATTGTCATGTCTTTAGGATTCTCATCACTCCATACATGCAAATTATCATTACATTACCTGATAGCCACAGCAATCAACATCTTGTTTTCATCGCCTACTGAACTTGAAAGTTTTAAATTCGTGACACCATTATACAAACCGAAACGTACACTCCTGCAAATAATACCATTTTTCTCAAGAATGGCATTCCGTAGGCGATTGTCTCAAGTGACAATATTGTTTTTATATAAAACAACCTTTTCAATGTTGCTGCCCCTTATAAAAAAATACAACCACTGTAAAAGTTTTGACCGCTAAGAGGGAGAGGTAACCGTAGAAAACTATCACCCAGTATATCGATTTGATTAAAACTTTAAGAAATAATACGCCATAATAGTCCAAATAAATGTACCTAATTTTAACGCAATCGGTAAAAGGGTTATGAAGTTATTAATTAAAATAGTTGTATTTTTGACAACTTAGAAGGCTTGTAATTCAAAAACCAAAAAGTTTTTATTTAACTTTTTTTTCGTAGATCGTATTTATTTATCGTCAAGAATATGCAGTCAAACGTTGTCGGTGAAATTTGCGGACACCCTGTATACTTTAACAAGTTTATTTTACTGCCTGGCCTACTTACCCTTACTAGATCAAGGTTATCTCCAGTTATTTTAATTGTGTGTCCATTTGTTATAACAGTATATTTATATTCTCCAATATTTGCATCATTTGTGCTGAGGCTATGCATTAGAGCTCTTGATGCTCTAGCTGAGGAAGGTAGAGCACTATCGTCAGAAGCAGAGGAATTTATACTGGAACTAGAACCAGTAAGAGGACCTCCACCCACTGTTACAACGTGATCTCTTACAGGAGATGCATTTCTTCTTATGGTATCCTCAATTAACTGTTTCGCATGACTAAAAATGATTGAATTCAAGCAAGTCTAGTTAGGTTGTTGGTCTTCGTAGACACTGTAGGTTGTGCATAGCGTGATGCAATACATATAAAAATGTATATGTACCCTGTATTTCACTTTTTATAGAGCCATTCTTATATCTCTGTTATTTGAAATTGAAACGTTTTCACATTTTAGTATAAAGTAATTACTTGCAAAGTGATTAATTAATCTGATATAGCTAAATTTAATTTTTATCATAGGCATCTGGTTTTAAAAGTAAAAGAGGGTTTCAAAAAAATATATCAGTATTTTTTTATCTAGAATACTGTGTTCTAAATTATACTTCCCATTAAATAAAAACTACCTATTAAAATTAAATAAGCATTCCCACTAACTTTTAGTTTTTAGAAAGTTATCTAATTGGTAACAAAAATTTAAAATAGGAATCTGTTTACGACATAGGATCTCGAATCATATTTACTAAAAATATTCACAACAAAAAATTCATGGCGAAAGAACAAACAAAATAAAGTAACAACATTAAAAAGTAAAAAATTCTCTCCATTTAAATTAACCAACTTCGTTTTTCTATGTATGTTTCAACTAGTTTGTTACTTTTCTTAATTCTTGTCTAGTAATTTTGCCAGATGTCTGAATAATTTTATCTCCTATATCCTCTCTAATATGAAACCTATCCTATAAACTTTTTTCTTAACAGTGCCCCAGAAATGGAGCTAATAATTTACTATTAAATGTTGTAATTTTGTTTCTTCTACTGCCACATATGTATTACTTCATATGAAGATTTTCAAAAAATCCAAAAAAAAAATTAGGAGCATATATGTCAGTTCGTACATTAATCTTTTTTTAACGGATAGATAAAGTATTTTCAAAGATTTGAAAATAAAAAGTAAAAGGAATTTAAAGAAATTTTATAAAAATTTGGTGCAGAAGAGATCATTAGGAGACTAAATTAAAATACATACACTGCTAATTTTTAAATAAGAAAATTTCTATTACATATTCTCTAAAAGTACGCCCCTTGCTTAATTTTAGAATGGGATGATTAAAATAACTTTAACAGAATAATTGCTTTACAGGCAATTTCGTGCTAAACTGTTAAAATGTTTGAATTTATAATCCAAGGGTAGCTGCATTGTGTGAATATAGTAAGGTGTGCATCTAACGAAATCAAGGCATGTAATAACAAATTTCTGTCTTTTATATTTCCAGTGCTGTTGCAGGTCTGCGAAGTTTTTAGGAACATTTAATAACTAATAACTAACTAAAAAAAATGCATTCTTTTATGTCAGGGTCTATGTTATTGTTTACCTTTCCAACATTTATGTTTGGTGGTGTGCAATTTAGAATTAATCATTCAAACCCATTTAATTAATAATTGGAATATTTAAGTAACTGAGGAGTGGGGGGTCAACAACAACAAAAAAAATATACTGAAAGGAGATCCGCGGTAAACAAAAGGTTAAGAACCGTTGCACAACATAGTTAAATTGACTTTTTAAACACGATTCACACCATATATAAATGTAGACATTATACATTTTACATTTTATGTACGCAATAGACTTAAATTATCTCTTTATATATAATATATAGATACCATTGTATAGATATAGTATTATCTTGCTATCCAGAACTAACAAATTTGATGTTTGAACCGTTTTTTGGTGATGCCAACTATATTTACAACATGGGGGGAGGGGGCCTATGAAAAGTGAAACACAGTGTAGATGCAGTCTCCAATACTAGACACGACATCCGTCATCTATACTTCCACAGCTATACATTTTCAAATCAAACATACTGACTTGTTGCACTACGTCACATTATACATAGCCTACAGCAACTATAGGAGATCACTGGCTAAGTAATAACAGGGTAATACAAGAAAAAATAAGAATATTAAATACATACTTGATACTTTCTTCATTGGCACCAGTTATTTGAACAAGTCTCTCTTTTGCTCCAGGATTTACTGTAAATAAAAATTATATATAATGTTTCATTCACATAATTAATTTTTTACTACTCTTATTGCCTTCTTTAAGGTAGTTAGCACCTAAATGGACACTATTTGAGATAATTCAGTACCTATAGTTAATTATGTACCTGACAGATACTTTTGCAAAATTTCAGCGCATTTTACCACATAGTATCTGAGTCATGCTTAATCAAAGTCGACTATGTTTAGCATAAGCTTAATGGTACCACCTCGAAAAATGTTGTTACGATGAAATCGTTGCTGTAGTTAAATAACCCCATTAGAGAAACTGCTCAAATTCTAGGCAAGATTAATTTGTGCAGAAATATGTTATATGTAACAATCTAGAAAGGATTGACCAACTAGGATTAAAGATATTAATACTCAAACTTTTAAATTTTTCGTACAATTATTCACATAAATGAAACGCGCACATTGAAGAAAGGTAGTTTGCTCGCGCGCCGACATTCTACAAAATTTTGAACTAAAACCTTTTTCGTTTCAGTTTTCTTTTTTCGTTTAAAGGAACTATTAAAATATATCAAACAGTAGGGACGATTCCTGCAAAAATTTTTAAAAACTTACCAAACGATTGTAATGCGTCCACTATATTTAACACCAACCTAACCTAACTTTGTGTCCCGTAAATATTAGTTTCCATCAATCTCTCTCTCTCAAGCACAGCTGTGCTCTGTATGACATTGCCAGCTGTCGAAACTACGTGACTCAAATATGAGACTTGCTCGAAAGTTTTCTAATTGAATTCCGTACTTGGGATACAACTACCTTAAGTAGGTCACTGGAAAATGTGGATATATTCTTTGTTAGTCTTTGACACACATTTTTTTAACACAATTTGTTCATTACCACTAGTGACATCATTGAAAATTTTGATAACAATAATTATCTGCCTGATTATCAGTCAATTTTTGGTTATTAGATTACAAAAAATTTCCTAATAATAAATTTATATAGCCCCAGTAAATTTCAGTTTTCAAGTGTATGTTGGGTAGACACAATAAAGACTGTAGGAGGGTGTACCGCTACTAACACCAACATGATGCAGCGAAAAACCACATGCATTTGAGATCGAGGTATTCTTTAAAGAAAACGATTCTTATGTAGTGTCAAGACAACATTTTTGCCATCACAATATTCGTAGCATGAAATTGTGGGTTAAATGAAGTCATTAAGTTCACAGTTATGAGGAGAATGTTGTAGTGATTGCAAAAACATAGCCTTACCATTGTACTAATTGTCTGCTTTAACAAATGCTTCTATCATGAACAGCATGCTGTTCTCCTGATCACTGCACCATGTTTTACGGACAATACACATACATCATTAGCAATACTGTCACTATAGCGCTTGAAAATAAATTTATTCTGAGTCGCTCAGTCCTACATTATTAATCACTTGTCTATTAATAAGTCTGTAGTTAGACAGTGAGAGCAGGAGATTTTTGTCACAATTTAAAATATGTGAACACTATGCAGCTTCTAGATCAAGTGCAAAAGTCTGTTTAACACCTTTTTGCTGGTTTTATGTTGATAAGTTTCTGTTTCTTAAATTGTTTCTATTTCATACATTCCTTCCTACGTGTACTTTGGTATTTACACTAATAGAAACTCAAATACTATAAAGACGCGTTCCCGTGTGGACAATAAGTATATGCTACTTTAGGTGATTATTGACTTGGTTAATAACCTAGTTTATTAATGTCATAATTAACCAGTTAATTACCAACACACGTAGCAATATAAATATTTAGTACTGGTTAATAATGCAACTACAAGAAAATTAAGTTCCAATTGTCTTTCAAATTTAACTATAAACAAAATACCAACCTCTATCCCTCTATTCTCATGTACTGCATATTTAATTTGTCCATCTATCTTTCAACCAAGGTGTTTTCCTAGTTTTTTCAAATTAAACTCTTGCCCAACTTTAAAGCAGGCAATAGATCTCTTGAGAATGTTATTTTTTGACTTCTGTCCAATTATAAATCATCGACATGTATTTATATATCTAAACGGTCTACCGAGTTAAATGTATTGGTCTACAGGCGCTACTTTTCTAATATCTTTGAGGATGGATTTCAAGTAGATTCTCTAGAACAATGATAATGAAAAGGGGCGTAAGCACCCAAAATCGTTATTTGAGTAACTTCTCAGGAAAACAATATGAAGAAAAGCCATTTCAAGTGAATTTTTTGTTGTATGTATGATGAATATCCTAGTATCCTGCTGTACATTCAAAACCAGTTGATAGAAATCAGATTTTAATTTCTTTAAAATACAAAAACACCTGTTAGTGATCCATCACATTGTAGTTTCTAAAAAACATCTCACATTTCATTGGGAATGCCTACATTTTCATTGAGTGTGTAACATCCGATTCTGTCATGCCGCCAAATGTACCATAATGTACTCATTAAGCAGCAAAGATACAGAGATGATTGAAAATAAAATGAATATTACCCTTGTGACTTAAAAACAAAACGTCATAACTTTTTTTCTATTTCTAGAAGTTTCTGAGATACCCTCGATTTCCATCAAAAATGGAAATCTGTATAGAGTAACCGTTATCTATGATAATTTATATCAATAATTTGTATAGTACTCGCAACTCACTTTGTTTATTAGTACTTAATAAGATTTTTGGTGATATATAAAAGTACGTACGCGAAAGTTTCTTTTAATGTTTAATAATGATAAAGAAATTGAGATATTATTTTCCATAGTATGTCAAAAAAATGATATTAAATATAAATAGAGAAAATATTAGTTAAAATTGTCTATATCAAATGAATGGTATATTTTGCTGAAAGTTTTAAATATTTGCATTTGAGATTTAGGTTTTAGTCTTAAAAGTTTTAAAGGAATTAAATTTACTAAACTAGACGAGCTGTCATAGTGATAATAATACTTTCATCCTGATTTTGTCATCATGATAACTGAATATGATTGGAACATTTTAACATACTGATTAAATAAAAAATATATATTGTGCTCATTAGACAGTCAAAAACTAAAGTGAATTTTTATCTTTGATATAATTCTTCACTTTTATCAGTTACAGAAACTCTAGTTCTAGTATGAATCTCCACCATTTAAAGTGGTATTTAATTAACGTTAATATCAACATCTAAAATATTAAACTGTTCACATTATAAGTACTTTATATTATACGTAGTCTTGTCTCCAATTTTCAAATTTATTCTTTCAATATTTTTTAAATTATTTTATTATTATTATTTTGTTTTTATTAATTAGCAACCAAATTTTGACATTTTAATAGTGATTAGTAAATACTTTGCAAATAAACTAAATTATTACAGAAACACAATAAAACATAAATGCTTGTTTTAGTTACTTACTGTTTAGTATTTAAAATTTAAGAAGAAACTATATCATTCCTCATTAATAAGAATGGCAAAAAATAGATTGTGAACCAAAACAAGCCTATATTACATGCCACGTAGAAATGTCGGTGAAAGAAGAAATTGTGATATTTAGTACTGTTTAATTATAGGTTAATGCTTAACAAGAACACAACAATGATTTTGCAATTAATAAAAGCAAATGTTATTAGAGTACAGCATTTTTTACCTCTTTGGAATGAAATTATCGTTTCACTTAGTTCTTCTATCATATGAACTCTCCTTCCTTTGATTCCCATAACTATAATAAACAAAAGTTTATTATAAATGAATCTACAATACATATACATTCACATTTGTATAAATATGTCTTTGAGTACATTTATGCAATCGTGTGTCTTACATATTTCCATAGACATACAGATACTCGTATTCACATAGAGACATACATATCTGTTGCAATTTTTATCATACGATGTCCTGCATCTTGAATATATTTAAAGGAAAAAATTGAATTGAAATTTATAATAGATCAACAGAAATCCTATTTCCTAATATTTGTGCAGAAATATACCACCTGTTTGTTTAAAAACTTTTTCTTATTATGCGTCACAAACCCTATACACATTAGCAAAAAATAATAAATTATATTGTCTGTGAAGATAGAACATTAAGAGCTATGTAAAATAATTTATTATAGGGAAAATAATGCATTCTCTTTATATTAAGTTTTTCAATTGTGTGTTGCACTACACCTACAACTGATACTTTTGGAGATACGAGAAAATCAAATATAAAAGTTTTAGGAATTTTTGTCAAGCTCCAGAATTATGCATCAGATCAAACAAACGAACATCACAAAGGTGTCAAAATAAACAAAAATTTATTTTTTTTAAGAAACATCATGTATGTAGATATACCTTCCTATGATCACAATTATAAGAAGTTTGATAGGTCTCTAATAGTAAGGGAGTTGTGGGCAATGATATTGCCTGTTTTGGTTATACCTCAGTTATTAAGAGATAATCCTATAAAACATTTATATCACTGTAATTATAAGTTATTCTATCCAAACAAGTAAAAATATAAACAATGTTTCATTAAAAAAAAACATTCTTTTTGACATATTAATGAGGGTCATTTGTTTGAACTAAAACAAAATTTTGCACTTCATATAGATTCAACAATATTTAATATTTTTTCCAAAATAAAAATTGCAGGCGAGGTTAAAAATAGAGACACTTTATATCTAAATATAGAAATGAAATACCCTTTATATTATTACGTTTGAATATAGCACTTTATTATAATTACACTATTAGGTTTGATAGCCAAAATCAATATGGCACAATCACAAGTGTTATAAATATTAAAATTTGAAAATGCACGACAAAGGTTCTAGCATCTAGGCCAGTGGTTCCCAACTTTTGAGAGATGGCAGAGCCATAAAGCAAAACTTGACTCTTCAGGGAGCACGTGTTATGTAATTATAAAAACACAATTTTGTATAAAACTTTTATTCCGAAACAAGACACAAACATTCTTAATACATAATATATCAAACTATTATCAGATATTAAAAACGAGATTTCCGAGCCTGCATTTGCTTCACTAGCAGAGAAACTCTGGGGTTGATGTTGCTGCTTAATGCTACGCACATACTGTCGCCTGCATCTAATCGGTTCCTGTTTTTATTTTCTATTAAGTAACACTGATAATCAAGGGCAGTTTTACCATAAGAGCTGCGGAGCTGCAGAACACATAAAATTTTATATTTAATCATATTAAATATCAACAAAATATTTAAAGAATCCAAATGTACTCGCGCTAAAATAAATCTAGGAGCTTATATTATTATTTATTGCGACGCGAGCTACGCTCCTTAATATATGCAACCTCATATACACAATGTGTGGACAGCGAACAATTATATGCGTCCTTTGTTTTTATTGGCTGATCAGGCACGTGACCCAGTACACGGAGATAGGGGCTTTTGCGGCTGCAATAGTGACAGCCACTGCGCTGCAGTCTGCAGTAAATGCAGTAATATTTCGTACGTGGTATGTGGTGGTTTATTTCTGCGAGCGGCACGTGTGAATATTTTCGTTTAGGCGTCTACGGATATTATAGTTATTAAAATGAATAGCGTTTCGTTTAAAAAAAAACTTTATTTGGTTCTCTGCCTTATGAGGATAAACTAAAAATAAAAGAAGTAAAAGTTATAAAAAAACAATAATGTATACACAAAAGCAGAGTGGGTGTGCGGGTGTGATTTAAAATATTCACTGTTTTGTTTTCCGTGCTTACTTTTCGGTGGGGATAAAGCATGGACAATATACAGTGTGAAAGATTTAAGTCATTAAGTCTTTAGGTAAAATAAACATAAGAAGTCAGTTAGATTCTGCATATTGGGATAATATACGGAAACATATGAACAGGTAATGAAAAATCGTCATGTATTATTTAAAATCATAGATTGCATAAAATTTTGCGGAGCTTTCGAATTAGCACTTCTCGGACACGACGAGACAGAAAATTCGGACAACCCTGATGTGTTTCGTGGACTCATAAATTTTAGTGTAGATCTTGACGACATTTTAAAAGAACATCTAGCCACATTGGTATGACCGGGATTTTCTGTGATTGTACCGGGAATTAGCTGTATGGTCCCGGATTTCGGATTTGCACGTATAACTCCCGGAATATAATATAATGTACATATATATAAAAAAAGATAAAGAAAAAATCATAACACGCCGAGGAAAATTAAAATTCGTTGAATCGTTGGTAAATTTCACAAACGATTTTTTTTTATAAACAATATTCAATAATTTAATAAAATATATTTAGTTTATTCCAATTTATTATACCATCAGTAGGTAATTCGTAAATGGATATTTCAAAAAGGTATCAATTTCAAAAATCATTCTTGTGAAAATCTGTATTTTTTTTATAAATTCATTGTTCCTTGAAATTCAGAAGTGCCAGGAAAACGCGTGACCTTGAAAATTTTAAAATTTTTCGCCTGCGGCGCCATTTAGAGACTCCGGGCACTTAATATCCCGGAATTCAATTCAACAAATGTAACAACCCTAAGCAGAACACATTCAATCAATGTTCACGCGCCGCCACTGCTGATAATCCTTGTTCACAAGAAAAGTTGTGGAAAATATCACCAGATATCTTAAAGCAGTTTCACACAGCTTTGAATCAGAAAGAGCTTTCTTGAACACTCCTTGAGGCTTCCACCTAAACTAAAGGTGTCTTTACAAGTGCCATCATTCTGCAATTCGATGAATTCTTCCTGCATATCATCAGGTAGGTCTTAGGACTGTGTATGTGTTTGGTTGTAAAACAACTCATTGTTTATTTTTCATGCAATTTTTACATAGCGTCTCCATCAACACTCCAGCTTATATGATATTAATTTGCTGTACTCAAGACTAACAAAGACAACCAAAATTTGTGCAGGTAGAACAACAGATACCTATTGGTTGGACTATTTACTTTACATTTTTTTTACTCTTAAGGATGTATTTCACAAATATACTTCAATATACATGGTGTCCCATTTTAAATATCGCACTGCAATATCTTCTTAGGGAAGTGTTTTCAAGAACTTTTTAGATTAAAGTTATAGGGTTCTGAGGGGGACATTCAATGTCCTTGACCTTGACACAAAAGTTAAGAATAGAGGGCAACTTGGATTTTTAGATATGATGATATATTTTTCTCACACCGGAAATAGATAGAAAGAAAAATTTTACGTTCAGATATGTCTTTATGTTTGTATTTTAGGGCCAAATAAGGTTCGGAATAAGATTTTGCAACATTTTTTGTGAAAGCACTTATGACGAAAGATTCTGGTTGATAGTTTTAATTTTCATGATGACCTTGACCATGACCCAGACAAAGAGTAAGAATTATAAAGAGGAGACAGATAGAAAGAAAAAGTAAATGAGAGAGAGATAGAGTAAATAAGTCCAATTTAAAGGGACGTCAAACCAGTGTAAGATCAAACTTTTCGGGTAGAGGTCGACAAACATCGGCGTACAAAGTTCGCTTCGTCGTGCGTAGACAAACACAGCCGCCCAAAAGTTTTAGTATTGCTCCCATTTTACTGTGAATGTGTGTGTTGTTTGTTTAAACTGTTTAAAGTGTTGTGAAATATCTTATTATTACCTATTTCCAGAAAAAAAAATAAAATGGAAGGAATAAAAAGTGGTGGAAAATATTGTATTTTTAAAAACTGCAAAAACAGACAGAGTGTGAATACAAATATAAAGTTTTTTAGAGTGCCAGTGGATGAAACAAGGTATGTGGATGAAACAAGTTTTTTTTTGCAAAATCGTAAGAATTTATTATAATACCATATATCTAACCTAACCCAACCGAACTGAATTTATGTTTTTATATTAAAACCATTATTGATCGCTTTCAAATCCTTTCCATTTTTTACTCTTTGACTTAAGTTTCATAATAATTGTGAATATTATTCACTGTAATAAAATATTATACCTCACATATAACCTCAGAGGTAGGCAATGGCGATAATAATTTTTATCACAAGTTACAGTAGGTATAGTCCTCAGAGAAATATGTTTACTTATTCCTCTGAGGTATAGTCCCAGAATTAAAATAAAACAGGCAAAAACATATAATTACCTGTGGCAGAAAGGAAATGTGCACGAAATAAATGACAGTGACAGGGTAGGTATGTAGCATAGGTCCCTACCTATTTTTAAAAAAGAATTTTTAGGTAATAAAGACAAAGGTACTTCTCCAATTGAATTTATGCTCCTTTCTCCTTTAGTTTTGTTCATAAATGTTTACACTGTATTATGTATTGCTACCTAAAATGTTATGGTAAACTCGTTAATGAAATAGCCGTGAAAGTCTACTCTTTGGCCCAGGCTTCTGAGTTTTTGTTAGGCACTTTAGTAACAGTGTAGGAGGCTATCAAACATACCTAGATCTACCATATTTATTATTTATACTGTACTGCACAAGTCACAACATTAGGTCAAAGAGTAGAAATTATATTATTAGGTGATATGATGGTAATATTTGTATGACATTGTAGGTTCCTAGTGATCCTATTATAAAATATATGTATCTATTTTTTTATAGATGTTATCGATGGCTTGTAGCTTGTGGCCGCGAGGACTTGCTAAAGCCTGATTTAGATGCCACAAAGGCATATTCAAGATATCGTGTATGTAGTGCCCATTTTAACTCCTCAGACTTTAATAACCCGTTTGAAAAAACAAGACTGCTACTTACTGCAGAGCCCACGCCATT